CCCCAACCTTGTCAGGCGCAGATCGAGGCCACCGACGAGGCGAAAGCCCCGGGTGCAACGTGGGGCTTGGGCGAATGGGCATGGAACAATCGGTGGAAACTGTGGGAGAACTGGTTCGAGTTATCATGTAGCCCAAAGATTGGGGGACTTGGCCGGTCCTAAGAAAAGACAACGGGGAGGCCTGTTGGATTGAGTGCTTGAGCTCCCAAACATCACACAGAGGGTTGGAAAAAGCGAAACGAGTGTCAACACCATCCCATGGTTTTCGTGTCTGCGCGGGGGGGGGGGGTGGGGGGGCTCAGCATCCTTCAAACAATTAGGCAACGCCCGCAAGCTCCAATCAATGTCAGCACAGGACACTGGGCACGTACCCCCATGTATTTGTGAGAATTCAGCGATGGTAGCCGGCAGCCTTTTTTCAACAAATGATGGCGGTTTTAGATAACTGAGCATGAACGACGGATTCCCAACACCTGGCAAGTCAACAAGAATCATATTGTTTTCAGCAACACACTGTGTTTCTTGGAGCTAACAAGGATTGGTTTCATGGGACCGAAAAACAAGCACAGGCTGGCATGCATTTGCACAATGCTCGGCAAGCTTGCGGGCAAGCCGAGCTGATGGTCTCTTACCATACCCTGTGAGTTGCTGGTGGCTTAAGATGACGATGTTTTTAGTATGTCAGTCACAAGCGATCAGGCAGATGTACAACAATGGTTAGGCAGATTTAATTGACATTGACGGCGGTCAATCTTGATGGCAAGCCCCGCAGACAGAAGAGTGGAGCACGCCGTGAATGATTTGCGACTGGTTTTCTGAATGTTTGCTGAAGTTGAGATCTAGAATTCAAATTCGGATTGTTTGAGGCGGGGCACCTTCGACGACAAACACATTTTGCATATCATGTTGAGCTGATTTAGGTGGCTCCTGATCGAAATTGGTTGGACATCTTTTCACCAGTGTATCCCAGATGCCAGTGCAGTAGGGCAACTTGTGTCTTTTTTTGGTACCTGGGATGGGGCTGGTTCCATTGGATTCCCAGTTCAGTGGCGCCCCTTGGGGGCCTTTTTCACTTTTTGAAATCGGTTCGAACACGTTACAAACGGTCAACTCCAAAAAGCGCTCCCCAACTGGGCAAATCGATTTGCTCAGGCCGGTGCGCCAGGGCCCAACATCCGGCCAATGCTTTTGCAGTCGTACAGGGTTGGTTCAGAGACAGTCCTCCAAAAGATGACCAATACGCAAAAGGGTAGAGTTTGGGATGGGTGTCCTTTGGTTTCTGTCAGAATTTGGGCAAATGCTCTGCCAACTTGTGCCGATCAGGTCCGGGGGATCCAACTTTATTCTCCTCAGAAGGTACCCTTCCAAACCAACAGGGCATCAGAAGGGACTTGTGGCTTGCCCCACAGATGATATAGCAGAGTCATGGCATTCTCCGCATTCCCGAGCTTCAAGCTATTGGCACATGTGAAACCCAGGAATCGACCCCACCCATTATTTCAGACCCAACAGGGTTGCCTAGTTTGGACGCATACCGCATACCCGTATTAAAAGCTTCATCCAGCTAGCTTCAAACGAATTTCAAGTGCACTCTCCCAGGCTTCGGCTTTTGCGGGCGGTTTTTGTTTTTTGGCTAAAGGCTGCACCTGCACCGTCATGATGAGCCGCCCTCGTTTCCAGGATACCTTTGCAAGGCCGCTCAAAATGATTCGTCTAAAACCCGAGTTCTTCAACATGTTGATTTCCTCCACAGTCGCTAGTTGTCGTCCAGAAACAGGGTTACGAGTTTATGCTTGGCAGGTTTTGTTCCATTGTCGGTAGCATGCCAGGGGATTATTCTAGTGCTTCAACCTTCTTTTGCGCCATCTTTCTTATAGTGCTTCACCGCAGCTTTCGCCAGATTCTTCTTTACATCTACGGATTTCTGAGATGATACCTCCATATGAGGGCATACAAATACCTATGCAAGAGTGGGTTGATGTCGCCACTTTCGTGTTGCTTGTTGCTTTTGTGGGAGGGTGATCGGTGTTTCTGGTGACACGGGAGAAGCAAATCAACTTATGTTATCATTGCAGTTGCACATCGTCTGCATGGCAGCATGCCTCGGTGCGAAGCAGTTCCATGGACGTTTCGGCCGTTGAAAGCTTCGCCAACTCTAGGGCAGCCTCCACTCATTCGACGGCGTGAGGGTTTTCTGCCATATCTCACTACGAGTTTAACTGTTTATCAAGCACCACTTGGATTTTTCAAGCTACTATGTGAACATGGATGGCACAAGGCACGCTCACTAACCAACTCGGGGGCAAAAGACCCGCACTTTTATAGCAAGCCATCCCCAGGTGGCAAGCTCTGGTCTTGCGTTGCGCGGCCTACATTCCCCATTATTCCATTGGGGATGTGCCAGCAAGCCCCGAATAACCATAGAGTTTGGCCAGGAAAACTGATCTCTGGACGGACTGGAGGATCACTCCTTAGAATCTCCGCCGGTCCATTCTGAGGCTGCGCACCTCCCTGCCGGACGAATAACCGCGGCATTTTTCGGTCGAGGTCAAGCCAAAGAGTCCCAAGATGGGATGCCTGGTGAATGATCCAGTGGGTCGGCATGGCTCAAGGAGCCCTTTGAAATCACTCGAGCGAAGCTGGACACTTGGACTTGAGGGTGAAGGCAGATTTCCATGATTACGCGGCTACACACACAAGTGCACATTCGCAGTTCAGAAAGAACACATAGCTATATGCGCCATAGGCTGCGCACAAAAACTGTTGCTTAGCGACACACGCGATCGGGTTGAACCTTGGCAAAGCCCGAGGTGCACAGGATCGCCACTCAGGCTAGGAGACTACGTGCCAGCCCTCCTTCAAGGCTGAGCTTCAATTACTGCACAGTAACCATACTTTGTTGCATTTTGCTCGGATGTTAGGGCTTTAACTTTTTGCCAACTAATGGGTTTTTCATGTTAAACATTTGGCAGGGGAGCAGAAAGCAACCGAGCATACTTGTTCCAAAGTGTAAAAGGATCACCTTGGCCAAATCAAGTACTCTCCTCAGCCGACTTTTTGGTGATTTCGCCTTTGGAGACACGGCAAGGTACGTTCCATGCGTCGGCCTTGCGGCCAATTGATTGTCTCACTTCACAATCGGGTTGCCCGGCCCGTGTTTGCGTAGATGCAGGCCAGTGGCTTCTTTTGCTCTACTGGCTGCAGTTTCAGTCGAAGACCCGGAACCAAACGTGCCTTTCGTGTTCTTTGGGGTAGCCAACTGGCTCTGAAATTGGAATGAATGTGTTACTTGGCAGGTATGAGTGCGCCACCATGCAAATTCACTTCACCGATCAACAAGGTTGGCTCTTGAAGCAAGTTGTTTGAGGCAAGGAAAGCAATCTTTTGGACCCCAACTAATGCCTTGCGGGAAAGGGTTTGCACTGGACAACACGGACCAGAATTGCACCCTACCAGCAGCCTTTGTCTGGCACGGCATCGAGGAAAAGTACCAGAGCCGAAGTTTTGCCCACGGAAAGCAATGAGGATTAGGCTGACCCTACATGGGTATGCCTTTCTTTAGGGGACCCCCAAGATTCCCATTAAAATCATGAAAGAAAGGGGTCCGCTTAGCTAAAACACACAGACATGTACATGGATGGATGCGGTTGGAAGTTCCGGCGTGCGGGATCTGAAACCAAGCATGAAACCAAGCATGGAACTCACAGGCTCGTGAGCATATCTGCATTGGAACACTGGGATTCTTAGGTCTTTGTTTTCGGCGGTCTTCATTGAACATGCAGGGTGATATTTCTGTCGCTCCACTGCCTTCGTGTTTAGAAGAACTAAGTAGCTGAATTGTTTGTTGCTCCAACCGCACGCACAAGAGTTTGTTGTTCGACATGTGCGAATGAACTCCACTGTCAGCTTACGCGCTTCGCAGCCTTTCCTGGCAAACGACTTGGAAATCCATTTTTCCAGGTGCAGCTCTTGAAATAAAGGGGCAACTGACAAAGGATATTGCTCTGCCCTTTGAACAAGTTTGTTAACTCGCTTCACGTGGACGCCTTCGGTTCCTTGGTCAGTGGCCACTCGACTCGCCCCAGCGCTGTGCTTGCTCCAAGCTGCCGGGGGGCAGAGGGCGGTGGCAGAAAAAATGTTTTTGGCCTGGTCCAAAAGGGTATGTTTCTTTGCTTGGGGAGTTTCAAACATTTTCAAACATCACCTTTTTGTTTGCCACGACAAATTTAGCTTTCTTGTTGTTTCAGGATGCCCAAAGGAAATTGACAAAAAAAGTTGGGACGCCTTTTCAGGAAATGGTTACATTTTGGCAAGCAACATGAAGCACTGCCAACCTCCCGAGAAGCAGCATGGGAACTACCAACGTGGCATGACGCCAAACTCAGATAACACCATGAGAAAATGAATAATACAACGACCACCTCATATGACAAATAATCAAACGGAGCAAAGCATGAACCAACATGAATGCACCTGAACCATTCAACAGCCCGTAGCACTCTGCCATCGATTCGCTCGGATGATCCCCCTTTGGGAGAAGCGGTTGCTGGAGGTCCGGGAGAAAGCCAGCGTCCGGCACTGAGCTGATTTGTCTTGCTCGGGAATGACAACGAGTCCGGGTGTTGGGAATGAACCGGTTTTGGGAGATCCCGAAGAAAGGAAACCAAATCGGGTATGGTGTTTTGCTCGGGGTCATTCCAACTCATTCCCTGCCTATCGAAGGAACCAGCAAGTTTTGGCCCGTGTGGGAAATGGCCGTGTCCTTATCGACGCCCTTCTTGTGGTTTCTTGAGGGAGACACGTACACCACCAACTAGGCGGCCTGCGCCTAGTTCGAGACAAAGCCTTGTAACCAGCTATATACTTGTAGGCTGTGATAGACTGGAAAAAAGGAAAACAACACGTGGCAGCATTATCAACGCCGCAGTTGAAACCTCGTTTTTGCAGACCCATTGGGATCTAAAGCCTTGCGGTCTCTTAGGGAAGCGACGAACCGGCCAAATTTGGCTCGAGAGTTCGGTGACCTCGCTAAGAAAGGCTGAGCTGTGACAGCTTACGAGGCTTGCTATCCGATGGCTGCCCTGAACCTCTCCTTCGACATGTTTGATGCTGCCGCGTACGAGACGGATTCGGACTCGAATCATTCGCAAAGCACTCAGTCAAAGGTTCGGCTCAGTGGCACGGAATTCCTCTCCGCAAGCCCATCTCGGGACGGCTTGGAGATTGGTGCACAGATTCGGAGGAGCGTGCTTTCCTCGCAATCGCGGAACCGCAAGGTTATTGCACCTCCCCCCAAAGAGCCTGCCCCAATCTTCATCGCGGAGCTGCCCCCGTCCATGAAGGTACCAACACCACTGGTATCTGCAGGGCTGAATCCCTTCATTCCCGCCAAGAAGCGACTGTCCTTCGCGGATGAGCTGGGCGAGAGCAACCAAGGATTCCAGTTCATCTCAGAGCCTGTTATCATCCGCGCGAGCGACCTGGCCAGCTTGAGGCAAGCATGATTGGTTCGTCCAGGCATGCCCAGAGCGGATCTCTCCCATTGTGAGTTTTACTGCAGGCGCTCACAGCTGAAGAGAACAAGAATTGGATGTCATGCAGCAAGACTGTGATCCAGTTCAGAACAGTTCAGAATTCGTATCCAAATCCAGACCGCACAGCCGTTTTGAAATCGGGTCGGGGCCGCCTTTATGCTGCAAGAAAGCACAAGCTGATTATTGCATGCGCCTTACATAGGCACGGACTGGCACTGATGCGACACCAAATTGGAGTGCTCGCTTGTTGATAACCCTTGTTGCCAATAATACATCCAGCCGAGCCTATGCGAGTTTTGCGGCCTCGTTCCCTCCTCCGGTATGGCGATGTCAGAGCAGGTGACTGCCCTGCAAACTTGCATGTATGCCGCTATGCCCCTCTTCGGATGACACCCGTTTGCTGCAGCCGCAGCACAGAGTCCTTTTTTTCGCGGCAGAATTCATAGCCTTCGGTTGCAGGATGAGATCCTTGAGATTGCAGACAGTCAGGTGTGGTGTTGTTATTGCTTTTTGTGTTGGTAATTTGTTGTTCATTCTTGGGATGATGTGTGTCGACTGAGGGCTCATTCTGTCTTCTGCTATTGCAGTAGGGATTTTGTGACAGACTGCACGCCCGCTTCAACCTGTTGTTTCGCGGCGTGCGGTACCTGGGTGGCCACTACTAAGCTAGTGGTCCATGTGAACCCCCACCTTGTGCTCACGAAGATGCAGCAAAACCGCGGTCTGCCCGTCCATTTGCACCGGGATGTTTAAGGGCTCTTCCCGGAGGCATTTGTTTGCCACTATGCATCTAAGTAGCAGCTTCCATGTTCGTTTGGCAAAGCGAAACTGTTGATAGGACTTGAACAAAGGAGTAATAGCAGAAGTAGTGTCAAGTATCAATAAACACAGTCGGGCTGTTTGAGAATCATGGAACATCCTTCTTGAGAATAATGGAGAAACCTCTATGGGAATCATGGAACATACTCTTTGGGCAGTTTAGTTTGGAGCTTCGCCAAATGTTGCATGCTCTGTTGTTTTCAGCCACCCAATAAGGCGCCAGGCGTTTTTGTTATAACTTTGTGTCATTTGTTTGTCATTGTGCAACGACGGTCTCTGGATGAACCCGCAGAGGGATGGCTGATGCTTTAGATGCTTCCGTTTTTTGTGCATCCCACTACTGAGAGCGGATGGGATGGATGATTGCTTATATTATGATGTTCCCTCAACCAAGCGGGAGAAGGGAAATATCCTTGCGTTGAGGATGGACAATTGAGCAGCGCCCAAATCCCATCTGAACGGTTTGGTAGTTTGCTACAGAAAAAAAGTGCGGTCCGCTACGAATTTTCATGGAACCAACAGGTTTGAGCCCCAAACAGGCCACATCCCAGACAGCCCTTGGCAGTCCATCCCTGGCCACTCGCTCAGGAAGACGCACGCAAGATGCGCCTGCACGGGAGCATCCTACTCAGCTTGGGACTGAGGATGCGCCGTTTTCTCAGGGCAGATTTCTGGTCAGGTCCCTCGAAGTCAACGTTTCAGGGGTTCTCAAAATGACGTTTGAGGGTGTTGTTCCCTGAACACGTGCTTTAGGTTTTGGCCATGCGTGTTCACCCAGAGGCGTGCTTGCCAAAGCCCTTGTAAAGTTGACGTCGTCTCATATTGATACACGGTGCAAGATTGGAGGCCCTTTTCTCCACAAATGAACTTCAGAACTACGATCAGGTTTATGAGCGCGGGAAGTAATTCACGGGCAAAGGCGCAGTAACAGTCGGGTTGAAAGGAGGAACCCCCGAAAATTCAAGCACACCCTGAGGATGGCTTCCGGGGGTGGAAACAGGGGTGTAAGTACCTCCTTAGAAGGTACTTGGACCCTTTGGAATCCATATCGCAGTATCCGTTCTGACAAATTTTGGAAACAGTTCATAGAAGACAGCATGACTCGTCACTACCGTTTCAGCTCTATGTATGCGCATGACAACTGGAATGAGCCTTTATATAAACAAGAACGATCAAGATATACCATCCATCGACAATGTTACATCTTGCGTGTTTTGCCACATTGTGCGACTTCGACGGGTAACACGGTGTGTGGTTGGTTCCTTGCTCGATGTTGGATTGGCTTGGTCTAGTGACTGTCTCAGCGAGTCCCAACCTTGCGTTTCCCAGCTTGAGCCGTAAGTGGCCCAAGCTCTTGGTCGATCCCAGTCATACGAGCCTTGATGGGCCCTATGCGATTTCCCGTGCTGGAAATCACAATTCAGTTCCCGAAATAAACCGAAAGGGAGGGCGGCTCGAACCGGGGATCTCTTGATGGTGTTCGATGGCTTAAAAAACGGTTGGGATGAACCCTGACATGGACCCTGCCTCCAACTTGGAAGCACATAACCCCTTTGTTAAGACGAACGTAGTCTGCCAAGACGAATGTAGTTTCTCGCGTGGCGCAGTTCCTGAGTTCCTAAGGCCGGCCTGCTTCAGAGGTGGGGGAAGTGGGAAAGCGACTATGGGAAGACGCCTAATGCAGGCTTCTTGTTTGGCTAGGTCCCCAGTAGTGCCCTTTTACCAACTTTTTTGGGGGAGGGTTCCCCCTACAATAGACTACAGAAAAAAAGGTACCCTTATTCTAACCTCTCTACTGGAGGACCTAGTTGGGGTCACTGCACTGGGGAAACCGACCCACCATCCACCCCAAAGCTGTGTCAACCTAAACCATTCCCAACACCCATTCCTACTCAGTGGCTATGACAATGGTAAGGTGAGGCCAGTTGGGGTGTTGAACAAGGGGTTGATGACCTCACCAATGCAGATGGTTCCTTTCTTGGCGACTGTTCTTGTCAGCATCTTGACTTTTTTACACTATTTCACCAGCCCAAAAGGGGAAAGGTAAGCTCTCAAATGGGTTTGAATGACGGTTCGAGATGTCGCTTCATTTGCGAATGGGGGTCCCTGCCATTCGCAAAAGCGTATTCCGGTACATGTAGCATTGCTCAGATCAGACCCAAGCAGTTCCCAGCTTGTATCGCATGAAAGGCATACGTGAAACCCAGTGGCTAGGTCGCAGGAAGGCCTGCCCAAATCAGGACCCCCTGTGAATTCAGGGCCAGCTGATTGCAGGAACGAGCCTCACAGCAATGTGGGTGTGTCTCAAAACAGGGGACACCTGGTTTGACAAGGAAACAAAATCAAACCACCTACCTGGAGGGGTCCGCAATTTTGAGAGACGCACATGTGTTGCGCACGACATGTCTCGGACTCTACGATGTCACTCATGTGTCTGAAATAGCATAGCTGAAGACTCTGCCAAATGACCGATTCCGTTTTGATTTCCTTTCAACGTCATCCAACGCAGGACCAGCTCGATTCGGCACTTCCGCGTATGCACTTGCACCCACTCACCCAGAGGAAGGTGATTTATCAGGCGTGGCCCTTGTTTCTATGTCAGTGGGAGGGAAGGTACTACGCCAGCATTGTTCGACCATTGTGCGATGGTCGAGAAACTGGTTTAGGTTTGATGGGTGGCATCCTGTACAGCCACCTTGGCTGTTTCGTTCGGCAATGATTCTTAGACTCACTATTGAGGGAACCATGCTCCTACCCATATTCCACTTGGAGCAAATTCCTCTTTCTGCTTTACCATCGAAGATTGCGTCTACATGTGCTTGTTCTCGAAAGAGGGTCAAAAAGCAAAGAACGGGAACCTCTTTCACCCACACACGGTTATCTTGAACCACAACAGCAACTTGAATACTTCGAGAGCAAGCCACCGTGTCCGTCGTCAACAACCGTGCCTCTGGTCGCCCCCTCGCCCGGGACCAGGAAGAGAAGCCAGTTAGGCGCGGGCTGTGAGGGGGGCAACCAGCACGCATTTGAACCAAACTAAGGCCACCGACAAGCAGGATAGCAAATGAGCCAACAGACAAATGCAAGAAGCGCACCACTCAAAACCATTGCAAGCGATACACGAAGCGAATCGTATAGCCAATTCCAGGACCCACACAGGCATAGCAAGTCCAAAGGGGTTTGCCCAAATCTGATGGTTTCGTTGGAAACAATAAATAAATAAATAAATAAATAAATACATGTATATATATATGTGTTTTCCATGTTTTACATGTTCTGCTTGCGGGTGTAGGAGCCATTCAACTGGCCCAAGGCTTGGTTGCTCCAAACACCGGCCCCAGAGCCGGTTAGCTTTGACACACAGAGGAAGGGAAATCGTTTTACAGGGCTCCTATCCGTTTTCCAACAATCACGGAAGTGCCCAAGAGGGTGTTGGAAGACTACCATCAACGCAAGGTCTTTTGTCCACTTGTCTGACTGCTGCAAAGAGTTGTTTTTGTAGACACCCCCAACATTGACAAGGGGGTATTTCTGACCATATACATGCCGTTTGTTTTCGCAGCTTATTCCCTTTGTGTGGCGGTTGGAGAAATGCAGTGGTTGGCATTTTCTTAGTTGCTTCCTTTCGCACCCACCAAGGGTTACTATGCGACCGGTTGAATCCAACATTGGAAAGCCTAGGTACAAATCATTGATGGTAATGACCAAAGACCGGCCCTGCCTCCATTTCGGTTTATGACTGTTTCCGGATAACCTCTTCCGCGGCGCGGCTTTCGTGGGGAGACCACATGAGGTTGCAGGAACAGATGGCTCCCCTGTCAGCTGGTAGTAGGGAGTTGGACAGCTGCAAGGGTTGCGATGCAAGGAAACTATTGCCATGGCCTGACCATGGTTTGAAAATTGTCACGTTTCAAAGAGAGATGACGCAAATCCTGATCGGCATGTCGGTAAGCCCAACCACATGATCAGATCAAAACGGACCTCGCTGCTGTAGTTTCGATGTATCTCAGCAACGCCTTCGTCACTTCCTGCAAATTAATTTGCAGCCCTGCCCCAAAATGAGAGCAAGGGTAGTTGTTGTTTGAGGAATCTCCTGTCGGGCAACCTTCGTGGGTTCTTCTTAGGAACGCGATTCTGGTGGATCCACAGGCGTGGCAAAACTTGAACAAATGGGGTCAATGACACGCTCCATCCCAAACCTTCAGGGACTCGCCCCTCAACCAGAATGTGGGAATGGTCGTTCCCAACCATTGGATGCTGATTGCGGAATTCAAATCACCCCAATTCCAAGGTGTTGAGTCTGTGGGAACTTGGGTCCCAAACCGACAAGTTGGCCAGTTTGTAGGACTTTGCTGAAGGCAAAACTACACGTCAGCCACAGCCACACTCGTCCCTTACCCGGTGGTGCCTCTTTGAGCTTGGCGGGTTCACCAGGCTTTCCCTTGGGGTGTATACAACTTACCAATTCATGCAATCACGAAACAACAACATATAAATCCATACATACATACATACATACATACATACATACATACATACATACGTACGTACGTACGTACGTACATACATACATACATACATACATACATACATACCAGCACCCTCCGACTACTGCCCAAACGGCAGTAGATAGAAATTTCCCAAAAACGACCGTAGTTAGAAAAA